ACAGATATGCCCCTTGTTAAAAAAAAAAATAGCTGATGGGACCAGCAGTTAGCGTAATGGCTATGTCGCTGGACTCCCATGTAGTCGACCGCTGTTCGCGTCCCGGACCCGATGGCTTAAACTCACGTTGGGCGTGTGCGTTTAAGATCCTGAGAGGAGAATGGAGGAGAAGGGATTGCGGCGTGGCCATCCCCCCTGAGGGGTGATTTCTTGCTTTCTGTCTCTCTGTCTTTGTCTTTCTGGCCAGCACACGTACCCTATAGCAAAAAAAACCTCTCAAAAAAAAAAAAATCCAAACCTTTTTTTATTCTTGGTACTCCTGTATCTGTTCTTCTATGCTAGCCTTCCTTTTATGGCCAAACAGCTTGAACTGGTGGTCTGTAATCACAGCTTCGATCCCCACATAGCTTCAGTTTCTGAAATTTGTTTTCTTTCCCTACCATCCTACTGAGGACTGTTCTCCAGAAGGTTACTAAGTCTCTTGATTGTCAGATCCAGTGACCTTCCCTCTGTTCCAATTATTCCCTACATCTGTGGAATATGACATTATTTACGACCAGGTACTTGAGGTTTAGCCTTAGTGCTCCCTCATCTTCCAGGGTGTTTTTTTCTTTTTTTTTTTTTTTTAATCTCCTGTCTTTCTAACCACTCTTTTTTACTCCATTGGTAGTTTTAGTTTTGTTCCCACTCCTGTGGCTTCCATGGTAACTTCTACATAGATAACTCCCTGATGTTTATCTTCAGCATCAGCCTATCAAGTTTCAGACCAGCCATTTCCACCCCATTGCTGCTCACATCCTCCTGAGCCCAGGAGCTCTACATACCTGACCCAGTGGTCAAGGTTTTCTCTGATCTAGTTCCTGTCCTGCATAGCCCACTGTTGACCATACAACAATCATTCAGAGGTCTCTGACTTTTGTTTTCCTTCTGACCTAGATCCAGTCATTGGCAAACTTGAAGGTTCTGTCACCCTGTTTCACTCCTGCAGTCTTCTTTCCGTTCCCAGCCACTTGGGGTTTAGGTCCTTGTCTTTGGATTGGTTTCTCTGTCCCTATTTCTACCCTCATTTGCCTCCCAGGCAATCAGGTAAAGGTGTAGCTCCAAAACTGGCACCAGCTCATAACCTTTCTATGGCTTTCTACTGTTAATGGAACTAAGGGCCGATCCACAATTTGGTATTCAAGACCTTTACAACAAGGCAAAAAAGTGAAGTGGAATGATTGCTTCTTCGGGTAGTTTCAGAAAGAACTGAAATAATAGCTAGATCAAACGAAATGTCAACAAAGCTATACTATTCCTATCCTTTACTACAGGGGTTCTAAGAAAAAGTAAAACAAAAAATCCCACTGGATACTTTTTTCCTAAGTGGTATATTTCTCCGAACCCAAGTATGCTTAGGTAGAATGGCAGATCAACCTCTGCCAAACAAGGTTCAGTTCCTTAACTGTGACAATGCTATTGTCTGCACTTGTTGACATCTTTTTTTACTGTAATATGATGTAATGAAAAGAACATTTGACAAAGGAATCAAGAGCTCTGTTTTACTTATTTAAAATCTGCTATAGCACACATGTGCTAGCAGCCATAGAGAGACAGAGAGTGTGTGAGAAAGAACCCCAAAAGGGGAATGACCACACCGCATTCCTTTCTCCTCCATTCTCTTCTTGGTATATGGGACATGCAGGCACACCCTGTGTGTTTTTCAAGCAGTTGTGTCTGGGACTTGAACCACACAGTTGTCTATGCGGGATCTAGCTGCCTTAACCAATATGCCACCTGGCTGGCCCAAGAGATGTGTTTTAGTTCCAGTCTTAGTTGTGTGCAAACTGTGGCAGCGGGACCATCAGTTCTCAAACCTGGATGGCTATCACCGTCATCTAGGGGAATGTGTTTAAAACAATTCCAAGGCCAGGCCCTCCTCTTAGGGATTGCTTCAATAGCTCTGGGGTGGGGCCCAGACTTCCACATTTTTAAGAAGCTTCTTGGGTGACTCTAATGTGTAGTCAGGGCTAAGAACTGTTGGATTGATACTGCTGGTCCTATAAAGCATCTTGTCAGTTTAAATGGTTTTTGGGTTCTGCTCTTTCAATTACAAGATAATTTTCACTTGAATTTACTTAGCACATTCCACCTTATACTAGATTATTTTTGTTTTACCTTCTTTTCTATGCTGTTGTTTAGCTGTGTTTTACTCATCTTTCTGTGCTTCTTACTCCTTGGCACATGGTAGTTATTTAGTAAACATTCATCAAATTGGGTAAAGTGTTAATACAGCTTACCCAAAACATATCCTTCTCCCTTACCAAATAAACTACAACTCAAACTAAACAAAAACACCTACTTCTATGACTCTTGTTAACTTGTAGGTGAAATGTTCTGCAGCCTTGATTCAGGAAATGGAAGCTGGAAGTATTCAAAAGCTCTTAAAATATTTTCAAAGTGAAATGCTGTTTGAACTACTGATTGTACATAGTAACATGGTGTTTGATTTTTATCTACAACTGTGTTAATTATATGTTTGAGAATGTGTGTTAAGTTTTGTAGGCAAAAGACTGCTATAGTTTAAGCTCAATTTATTGACAAGTCCTTGAGCAAATAATCTTGTTCTGGGAAGACAGAGATTGTCAGAAACCTCTGTACACAAGAATGGCTGAGGAAAAAATAAACCAATGGTTGTGAGATACGTTGTTGGCAAGTGGAAGACATAGAAGGTATTATTCTTTCTTGGCCATAGAGATGCAATACACATATCCTTTAGCACATTTATGCCAAAAAAACCCCCCAAAAAACCAAAAAACTATGAACATCAGTAATAGTTTTACTAGATGAAGTTACATCCAAATGGGACTGAATCTGATTAAACTCTGAACAATAATCTTCCTGTTGAACCTGAGATATTCAACACAATTTCTCTAACATAAATTTAAAGAGATTTACAACTTTTAAAGAGTTGCTTTGCTTTATGTGTTTCTTCCCAATTCTTTTTTTTTGGAGAGATTTTTGCTATAGGGTGCATGCGCTCGCCAGACAGACAGACAGAGACATAGAGACAGAAAGCGAGAAATCACCCCCCAGGGGGGATGGTCACGCCGCAACAATCCCTTTACCTCCATTCTCCTCTCGGGATCTTGGGGATGCATGCACACATGCCAGCTTGAGTTTTAAGCCACTGGGTCTGGGACACGAACAGCGGTAGACTACCGCGGTAGACGATGTGGGAGTCCAGTGACATAGCCATTATGCTAACTGCTGGTTCCCCCCAATTCTTGAAATAAACAAAATTTGAAATATGAAAATTGCAAGGTGAAGTCCTACTGGGAAGAAATAAATCCCTCTAGCTAGAAAAAAATTTACATATACATGGGGTTTTACCAATTATTTGACTTCTTAAGGCAGTGCTTATTTTTATAGTTGTGAAAAGGGATATACAAAATATATCACCATTAAATATCTATTTAGACCATGGACTCTAGGGATCCTCACTGCAGTTTTTCTTCCCCCACGGCTGTAATTAATCCTCTGTCCTAAGACAGGTAAGTTTTGTAAGTTGATCTCAAACTTACAGAAAAGGCAGTCTGAAAAAGCTGATTTACTCAGAGACCAGCAGATGGCAAAATAGTTACCTTGCTGGACTCCCAAGTAGTCTACTGAGGTTGGAGTCCCTGACCATGGCCTAAACTTCACTCCACACGTGTGCGTGTGTGCCCAAGAACCCAAGAAGACAATGGAGAAGGGATTGAGGTATGGCGTCCCCCTCTTGGGGGGCAGTGATTAATCTCTTTCTCTCTCCCTGGCGAATGCACGTGCCCTGTAGCAACAATCTTTTTTTAAAAAAAGGGTTGGATTTATCCAAGATTAGAGTCAGTAAACAATGGAGAGTGGGGATTCTATGGGTTTTCATCACTTATGTAGGTATGCACACATGTACTATACAGATGAAGATGATAAACATACACATACACCTGTACAAATAGGTAGCCAGCACAGAGGCAAGAATGAAAATTGGACATTGTAAAATATGAATATGCAAAAAAATTAAACTATCACAGAGCACCTAGACATGTATTTTCCTTGGTGACTTGAAACTGCTTAGGAAAAAAGAGAAGCAGCGTCTAAAACGGCTAAGTGGGACACTTAGGTGACGTGAAACTTGGGGTTGACTTTAAATTGCTCAATCTGCTGCAGAGAAGAGGCAAAGTGCGCGTCCAGACACCTGTCCGAGGACGCCTCCAAGCCACTGTCAGCCCACGTCCCCTCACGACATGCACCCGGTGTCGGTCTCTGCCAGGGCTGTTCTCCGCAGGTCGCGGCCAGTCGGCACCCCCAAGTCCACCCGCGGCGGCGCAGGGGCCCGGGCGCGGCACCAAAGCGCGCCGCCGCCTCATAATCAGGGCCGCGCGCGGGCTGACGTCACCCGCCGCGGCCCGCCTCCCTCGCTCGGAAAGAGGCGGGCGCCCCTTGG